TGACAGTAGAAACAATTTGCAATATTATGGGTATCAAATGCATTCTTTGTGTGGTCGCGACCTATTTTTGATCAATGGCAAATAATTTATTCCCAATTGTTTTTTGGCATTTTGTTCCGAATTAATAGGTCGATATTTAGTATGAATGATTTAATCCTAATAAAGTGAACTGCCAGTTTAGAGCCTTGTATTATGAGTCCATAGCTTACAGCCTCACATTCTTTCATGTACCATTATATTTGGTGAAGAGGAAGGGCCTGTTATATGTTATACTTTAAGGCCCAATCTGATGATAAATTTTGGTCTCGAATATAACAATAGCGTTAATGCATTTGGTAGTTAATTAATCATTTACAGCATAATGCAGTAGGATATACAGTATAATTAATACAGTCGACCCCTATAACACTGTTGATTATTCCGTTTTATATGAATTCCATGTTGTGCGATTCACTTAGATTTTACAAATACGTCAGCCGTTCACAGCCCGGCACACGTATTTGTAAAATCTAAGTGACTCGTACAACATGGAATTCATATAAAACGGAATAAGCAACAGTGTTATAGGGGGGTCGACTGGTATCTTTAGAAAGAAATTAATTATATATTATCATTGCTATAATTATAAGACGAAAAAAAATATATTTTGAAATGCAATTATTTTGAGAAATTATCAGAATAATTAGATATTTGTTAATACTATGATTTAATAAGAATCAATGTAAAACTGTTGTTAATTGTGATTACATTATTGTTAAAATTTTCATGTGTGATAGGAAGCAATAGTGTAAAAAGGGAATGTTTAGTGTTGAAAAACATGGCAGTAGAGAAAGTTATAGAGAAATCATGCTACAATCCGATTTAATTGCTATAATTTTTAAAGGAATATTTAAAAATGAATAAGAAGTATATAAACAAATGGATCATTTTAAAGAAGAATATAAAAGAAATTCTTCAAAGTGATGTATAAATATATATTTCATATAATTTACTTTCTAAATAAAAATAAATTGAAATAACTAATAATAGAAAGTTCTATTGAATAATTTACAAACCTGCAATGTCCAAACAAATAAATATTCTTTAATTGAGAGTATTCATTCCAAACTTAAATCCTTCAGTTGATAGATCGCATGAATCTGACAGAAAGAGTTGATATGATGTATATTTATTTCTGTTTTATGCCGCTTATGTGTGTGTGTATGTCACACATGAAAGATGTGGGTGTCGTAGCTGTGACGCTTCAGCGAATCGCCAACCCGGGCCACTGACTCTTCCGTGGCACACCCTTTACCATTCAATACAGAGTTTAATTACTGAGGTAAAACATCCTGCAGAGAAAAAAATACATTTCGTTCTTGCGTTTTATTTTCATCAATTGGAGTGTGCAGTGTGATTGGTATTCCGTGGAAGTAATTTTTCTACAACTCGCTTCTCTCTTTAAGTAAGGAGTCTTAAAAATTTAACGAATTTGATCGATTTTCATCGCTTTAATACACGAAACTGTTAACAAATCTTGTATTTTTCTCATTTAAATTTTGTATAACGCTTAAATATTGACCTTCCATCTTGACCCCGATTTCGTCGAAAGGTTTAAGTAAACCTAGTTAATTCAATAACACGGTCTAGACTTTTCTCTCATTGGTCACTCATGAGTCGTTTTCTTAGTATAGTAGCTATTCAATGCTTTTCTAATGCAAAATGATTGAAATTCTATATAAGTGATTTTCATAATACTTACTTGTCTTTGTTTTTAAATATAACTCTTCGAAATTTAGAAAATTTGATTGGTTTTACGTTCCTTTAAACTGCGGAATTATAGTAAAGACTTACATTTATTATCTTATTCTTTGCAACTCGTTCTTGACCCCGATTTCGTAAAAAGAATTACATAACTTAAACCTGTGTTTAATTGACTCATTAACCTTGCTATTTGCAAGTTATTTTTTAGTATAGAATATATTTAATATTCTTTATTTTTAAATTTTAAGCGGTTTAGCAGGTTATTATTATTATTTTTTTTTAATACGAAAATGATGCAATTGAACATTTCGCAAAAATATATGTCCGTGTGACAGTTATAGACAATGCTTTAGGATGTCGATGAGGCTCAAAATGGGTAAACACATATTTTATGGTTCATTGAATGTATATTTTTCACGAGGCCTACGTCCTATAAGGGATGTAAGAGGAAATAAATATAATTATAACATTTATATTGTGAAAATTGGCAAGGATTTGAAGATAAAGAATCGGTTTTTGAATAGTCGCGAACGTTAACAAGTTTATAATAGATATACAGTTAGAATATATAAAACTATATACTAACAATTTAGAATTTTTTATTTTATTTTACATCAAATCGATGTTTTAATAATAGTTTTATTATTTATTTTTTTTAATAGTGTATGCCGCTCAACCGGTGATAAATGCCCTCGCGTTTCAAGTTATATTTCGCAAAATACCGTGTAATGTCGCATAGTAGAATGACCACAATGTAATAAAATGCTGTAAAAAACTGTTTTAACAGATTAAAAATGTATAAATTCTTTTGTAAAGATGAAAACCGGAATCGATTCTAACCGTTTCGATACGTAACGTTAAAAGAAATATCATAAAAATAAAGACGTATAAATAAAATTTAATCGCACATTAAAATATTAATATATATTATATTGTAATAAATTTTAAATGCATAATTTTTAATATTTTCTCGTAAATAATGATTTTATAGTTTATTTTATTTTTATTGTTTTCGATGAGTTGGCAACGTTCGGAGAGTACACGTGTTAATTCAAATATGGCGGCGCCCTCCGAAGTTAGTAATTTTAATGAATTCTTTATTTATTTTAAATTCTAAGTGATTGATTTTAGTAAATTTTGATTGTATTCGATGATAAGTTGATAATATTTAGTTGTTTATTTTGAAATTTATATTTTATTTTTATAAACCGAGTTATTTGATAGGTTATTAATAAGAAAGCATGTTAAGATTGAAGTCTGAATGAGGTATTTGCCACCCCCTCAGATAGTCTTTGTAACTTCTCTGTTTGCAAATATATTATATCAAATACTGTATCATTTATGGCTAGAAGAATATGCCTGGTCGACCACAGATGACACTATCAAGTTGTCATAATTTGTTATGTCATAGGAAGATATTCGTAAACAAGATGGGCTGCAAAGTAAAAGAAGAGTAGTGACAAATAACTATAACCTGAAGAATGAATGAAATCATTCAGAAAAATTGACAATATCTTGAACAGATTCCATTCAACCGTTCGATATGTCGTAAACAGTTACTCAGCGACAGACTTTACAATAAATGAGAGAAGGGCATTCTCCAATTTTAAGTCACTGTGATGCAAATGTGATGGTGAGAAAAGACAAAACAAATTCTAGGATAGAAACTGTCTGGTGGTGTGGCATAAACCAAATACAGAAGTGAAGAAAGAAAACATTTCTCCTTTTCCCACAGAGGATGATCAATGCTTGTTTGATAGTGTATGAATGCAGCAGGAGTGGGTTCTATACACTTTGTCCATAGCATAATGGATTAGTACACTTACTTTGACATATTGAAGGAAAATTTTCTCATTAGAGTTCAGATGGGACTTTCCAACAGTTACATTTTCATGCAGTACAATGATCCAAAGCATGCGGCTTGGAACACAAATGTGATTATTGTACACAGAGCCGGCCCTACTATAGTGCGAATGGAGCAGCCGCTCCAAGCGCTAAGTCCTAGGGGGTGCCTCAGTAGTAAAGAAAATTAAAGGGTATAAATTAAGGGCAACCAAGGGGTGCGCCATAATAGGATCTCGCTCCATCCTATAACTTGCCTCGGGCCAGCACTGATTGTACAATACCCCAATTATTCTAAAGCTTTCTAATAGCTTTAGAATAATTGAATCACTGACCTTTATCATGTATCAAATCTGCATCAAACAGAGATCAAGACTATTAATTAATTAACTATCTTTATTGCCTTTACCAATGCATTTTGTGTTGGTAACTATTTTCCAGTTCCTGTTCAGGTTACTGTTTTAAATTAAAGTTTAAAAAATTAACAAATTAAAAAGACAATCAAATTTTACAAACATATAAAACCAAACGTCACTATAAAAATGTCTAAGATTGTTGTATCTCTCTCTCACCCATTTCGTGTTTAACTCCTATTACGTTGAAACGTCACCGCAAAGTCCTGACATCAACCCCATTGAGCATATGTGGGATTATTGTTTGAAGAAAACGACCACGTATTGAACAGAGATGATTAAAATCAACACTATAAGAAGAGTGGAATAATATTCCCAGTAAGTTCACAGCCAAGCTTGTCAGTTCCATGTTAATGATGTTTGAGTGTAATTATAGACTTAAAGGGGTTGCAAAATATTAATGTGCTTGTTTGATGCATCTTTAATGTATTTTCTCTTATTATAATTACATATATGAATACATTTTATGGGACAAAATGTTGATTGGTTCCAATTTTTTGTGTATTTTGTGTAGTTTTTTTTTTTTTTTTGAGAAATTAAATTGGAAATTATTAGTACTGTTGATTATGTATCTATTATTATTAATAACTGAATGTTGTTGTCACTAATTTTATTCATAAAATATCCTTTGAGGAAGATAAATTAAATGCAATTATTGATCCATGAAATGTCAGATAAAGTGTATAATTAGATGAAGTAAGTAGCATTGGAAGAAAATATAGATGTGAAACACAGTAAATTTTATTGGCTAGGTGAAGCTTTACTTTACTATTGTTCTACTCATTTAGCTCTATATTGGTCCACTGAAGACGTAATGACACATTTAAATAAAATTATTTAGATTATCATCAAAGTTGTTAATGGCGTCAAAAAAATAAGAGATAAAAAGATACAGAAATTATAATGTAAATAAAGCATTCTTGATTTAATTACAAATACAATTCACTACTTATGTTATTTTTTTATATTTTATTTCTTTATATTGATTAATTCATTGTATAAATAAAGAAGTAACCATATAATATTGAATATATTGAAGGTAGCCCTTACTGCTGACGAGTCAGGACAATTATGGAATATTTGTATGTGGGATATTAACACAGGAACAACAATAACTACCTATAAAGGTGGAATGAGTAGATCAAGAACGTTAGATTTAATAGGTCAAGATTATTTAATATCTGCTTCCAAGAAAGAGCCTGTTCTTCAGATATGGTCGTCATCAAAAACAGTGAGTATGTCCGTGAAATTTATAATACATTAGACCTCTCATACCCGAACTAATTTGGGTGGGAGTAATCCAGATATAAGAAAAATCTGAATAAGGAGTGTGATAATTTTTAAATAAGACTGTATGTACCTATTCTATGTATAAAAAAATGTTTATTTTGACTTATTTTATGACAATTACAATTAATTTTGAAAGTATTGTGTCAAAGTTATTTGTTTTGTTCTTCTTGATTACTGATGAGCTTCTACATTATGTCAATGCCTCATCATTATCACGTTAATGATGATTGATGCATTGCGCTCTTCTACAAACTTCAAGGCAACGTTAATAAAGAAAATTAAAAAATGTACACATTGCAGTATGGAAAGGTAAGATTTGGAGTAATGTACTGTACAATATTTTAAAAAATTTTTCATTGTCTTCGATCAGTCTGGATATTGGAGAACCGGATGTGGGAGAGTCTATTGTAATAATAATAATAACACAATGAATACTGAACAGTTTTAATTGTAATTAATCTTAAACTAAAAATTACAATGAAACTAAAAATTATTATTTTTTTTTTTACCTGTATTCTGATTATTCTATACTATTATGGTTACAAGACCCATAAAAACAGACTAATCACGCTATGTTTACTAGTTTGGTTATTGGTTACCAGAGTTGTCAGGTCATTGCAATCATGTTAAATATGTTTATTATTTTTTTTAAAGGAATAATTACATTTGTTATATTGGAACTGACTGAAGAAGATAGTAAGATGTAAATGAATTTTGGCTTAACAATAGTATAGATGTATTAATCTTTCATCAGTGGGTTAGTCTTTTAGCAGTGGGAAATTTTTTAAGTGTTTTCCCACGTGCTTTTTCTCATTACCATTTCGGAAAAAGATTTTGTAAACAGTTGTGTCTAGTAAAGAAAAGTCTTTTTTTATTGTTACATAATTCCTTTTTTATGTGAATTTCTTTTTTGCGGTGGTTTTTGGAAATATCCGCAAAAGAATTTTGCGGATATATCAGTTGCAGGGCTGTGGAGTCGGAGTCAGAGTCGTGGAGTTTTGGTGTTTTGGCCGGAGTCGGAGTCGTCAAAAAATCCTCCAACTCCCTTTTTACTTACCAACTTGTTACGTATATGAAACGGAGTTGGAGTTGTATGAAGAGTCGGAGTTGGAGTCGGTAGATTTTTACGCGACTCCACAGCCCTGATCAGTTGTTTACCACTGCTACACAATTGCCCTTGACGGATATATTCGTCAGTCACTGCTGAGTGGTTAATAAACTAATAAACAAACTGTGATTAGTCTGTATTTTTGGGTCTTATAATCAGAGTAGTATAGTATAAAAATTAAACTTTCAGGAAATATTTAAGAATAATTTTACATTTTCTCTGTTCAGTCAATTATTGAGACAAAATTGGTAATATTGAACAAAACACTTTTTATTAAGTCCAGTAAGAAAAGAAAAATTTTTCATTTGGTAAAATAATTCAGATATTTTAGTACAAATTGCTGAATATATGAATATAATGCAAATTATTTCATCAGTCACTATAATGGATAAGTTTTCTGTTCGGTTCTAGGCTCAGGTTTATAATTTTCAATTGAAATATACGTACTAGATTATGTCAGTTCAGTTTCAATATCATTGTATTAGATGGGCAATCTATGAATACTTGTAATTCAGTCTATAGTCATTTTAAAATATAAATAATAAATGGAATTTGTGTTTCAGAACTTCAATATATATTTTGTGAGAAACCGGGGAGTAGAGAGTCTAACTCTGCTCCTTTTAACGGCGACGGTCTGGTGAAGACCGCTCACTTGGTCACTGGATGGTTTTACCTGAGTGACCGAGGGATGATCAGTCCATTGTTAGGGTGTTGGGCACCTGCTAAGTCCACATGAGAACAGGTTAAACAAAACAAAATAATTTAATGAACTAATTCAAAAGCATATGATACAGTAAGCTAATACATTACAGGTTATTTACCTTTCATAGGTAACATAATGCTCGAGACTATTCCTAAGTGTTGGTAGTTTTTCTATTCAGTCAACTGTGTCCGATAGACATTAAAGCCTTATATCTAGGCCCTTTAGGCTAATTGACCAAGAGAGAGAGTTTACATTTCCTTAAGTAATATACTTCTTAGACCAATGGATTCGGATTATGTTGTAATGGACGTTGGCAAAATGCACCAGGATCGGCAGTCAGTAGGGGTGGCAAGTAGTCCTTCCTTTCGTGTCGGGAACATCTTAGCAGGGAGAGAGAGTGGTGACAGACGGAAGCTTGTCCTTTTGCTTCTGGGAGAGTGTCCACGCCCCAATTGTCGGGTGTGACCCTTTTTATACGTGTTGTGCCTGAGTATTGACTCAGGTGACTTTGATTTAATGTGCTCTAAGTTCAAGTAGTGTCCAGATTTGGCTGATATGAGCTGTCAAAAAACAGACGCTCAATGAAATATGGCTATTTTCTAGCTGTTATTGTGGCTCGCTTTACCTCATAATTTAATCTGTTTGACAGTTTCTCATCATTAATAATCAACTGTCTTGACACATAAGTCCGAACATCCTAGTAGCTGTTGACTTAGACAGAAATTTGATCAGGTTTATCTATCAGAGTATCGTGAGTGGATGGGAAAAAGGAAGTGGGGTTTTTCACTTTTGTATTAACTGGATATTAGTCTAATTACTAAATTGCCCCCTCCAGAATCTCACATATTTCATTTTTCTTATTAATAAAATTAATTACATGAATAACCAAAACTTGTACAATAAATTACATAAAGCTATTTATAACAGTATTAAATTACAAAGATATTAAAATTCCTGTAAAAGGGCTTCATCACATCATATTTCAATACAAATATTTTGAAGGACAATAAAATAGCCCACATTGATGAAAAAGTTTCACAAAGACTGAAGCATACATCTCACAATATACCTTTCTTTATTTGTAAGCTAATGCTAGAGACTTTATCCTCCCTACAGTTGGATTGGAATGAAAGACTGATTGTGGCTTTGCATGTTAAAATAGGCCAGAACAACCAAATAAGCCACACAAAAAATAGCCAAACAAATCTTAAAATTTACTTGAATAGCAGTCTTATTCTAAGATTTTCTTTTGAAGAAAAATTTTCTAAAAAAAAAAAAAAAAGAAGTATGAATACAGTGATACCCCGAACTTACGCGATAGGTGGGACCTAGCGATAACTGCATAAGTCGAATTCACGTAAGTCGGGGTATAATTTCGCAATTTGTTTAAAACCCAAGTTGGATGTATGTAAGCTAATAAATGTTCTCGTTAATCTTATCTCGTCTCTTGATTTGTTCACGGTTAGAAGAAATCACCACATAGAGTCTCTGGAGTCTCCATAGATATAACAAACACAGAAATAAATAACACAAAATAAATTGTGGCTATGTGTCAATTTCGCGCGACACGTCCGAACATGTAAGCTGAACAATAGTGTGGAGGGATTGAGTAATCGAGAGTTGCTTGGCGCTCAAACAAAAGACGAATCGACGAAATTTGAAAATCGCGTAAGTCGGGGTAGCATAAGTCGAGGTATTACTGTATTTAAAAGGCACATGTATTGAAATGTGTTAGATACGCTAAAACAAATAGCGTAAAAAGAAAATTGAATTTTTTTCGGACTGTGTTAAATCAAAATTATGTAAAAGAAATTACTTTCATAAATGATTTTATTTCTACTTTTATATCAATTTATATATAGGATCCGTTTAATTTAAAAATGATAACTCCAGGAAAAGTAACGTGTCTTGCAGTTTGTCCAGACGGAATGTATTGTGTTGCCGGTATAGAAGATAAATTGAATATTTGGCAAGTAAGTTTAATTTGTGTAAAATTTTTCAATGCAGACTAATTATAACAGAAACCAGAGTTTTAAGCAAATTGTATATATAAATTGAATAGTGTAACACTAGAATCACTGAAGGAATAATTATAATGCATGATTTAATTTAGATTAAATATACATAAACATTTCAAAATCCAATTAATTAAGGCTGTTGTTTGGTTTAATTTAGATTAAATGTTTTTCAGGACAGAATTGAAACAAATTCTGTAACATTCCAATTATGTAGGATCTGATGATAGGATGTAAACAGATTAATACTTTTATTATTAATGATTTTATATATGATTTTATAGATTTCCACTGGTCGTTTACTTGCTGCTTATTCCTTTCATTATCAACCTATTGCGTGTATAAAATTTACAGATGATGGATCTTATTTTATTTCTGCTGGAGAAGATGGTCTTGTTTTAGTGTGGGATCTCAGTCAGTAAGTTTTTATTTCTTTATTGTTCAGTAGGTATCTTTAGAAGTTAATAATAGTTGTATTTTATGATTAGATATTTTTAACAAATACATAATGATTAAAAAAGTATATAAATAAATACACTAACTCAAAGAAAGTTAAAATTTCATATAGTAAATCTTCAACTTATGTGGATTTGTGATTTTACAGTTTTAAATACTTAGGGCTTGTTGCACAAGTTACTATTTAAAAACTACGTGTGAAAAATACTGTGAAAAATTTAAAAAAGTACAAGTTACTTATGTACAAGGTGTCTCAGTTAAACGTTTCAGAAGCTCTAAGAGGGGTAGGGTGCATCACGACGACTTGGAATCGTATAGCAATGTGAGGGTCGGAAATGCTTTCCTGACATGGTAGATGGCATTGTAGCTGTCACATTTGGCCAACAGTGGATTGGATGTGGTGGTCCTGTGCGTTGGCCTGCTTGGTCACCAGACCTATCATGTCTTGATTTTTATTTCTGGGGGCATATGAAAACACTGGTTTATGACACTCACGTTGACAATGATGAGGAGCTGGTTGCAAGAATCGCAATAGCTGCCGGCGAAATTTGAGATGAGCCTGGATTATTCCAGAATGTTCGAAATTCCATGCGCCGTAGATGTGAGGTCTGCATTGCAGTCAGTGGAAGAAACTTCGAACACTTTCTTTGACCCATGTTTCTTTTGTTTCTGTACATTTATTATTAAAATGAATATTCACTTACAGTCTTCTTCTTTATGATGTTTCTGTGTACATCACCGCTTCAGGAAAGCATTTCCGACCCATTTTGTTTCTTTGATAATTTATAGAATAAATTTTATCCATCCAAAATTGGCCATTTAACTTATTGGGCAGTTTATCTCAAAGATTTACACTTGTGCAGTACATTGAAGATTACTTTTCCAGCTGTTATAGAATATAACATATGAAAAATATGGTAATTAGTCAAATTTTAATCCCCATTTTTGATTTTCTCAATGCTTTAACACAAAATGTAAAAGAAACCCTTACAAAATTTTGTAGGTCAGCATCTATTTTGCATTATATCTCAGGTCTGGATGAATGGATGAGCCAAAAATTTTGAAATATATACATCATTGATACTATTAAATTTTGGTAATTAAAGGTCAAGGGGTGAGGAGATAGAGGGAGTGATTTGT